TGCTTCTATTTTAATATGCTTTTTTTCATGTATGAGCGTGTTTAAAAAGTTCATGGAAAATGAAATAGAAAGATAGTGAATTTTTTTCTACAAACTTTTTGAAGTTCTCTAATATATGTTGTAGTAGTCTAAATGCTAGCCTTTGTGATATATTGAAATATATGTTCTTTATCTTTGACATTTCAAATTGAGATAGGCTCAAGCTAGAAGCAATTATAATGGCACTAAGCTTTTATTAAAGCTAGAAACTGATGAAATGAAGGCTGATTAAAAGATAGCATGTCAGGTAAAGGGACATGATCTTTAATGGTATCAACAAATATAGAATATCAGATGAAAATGTAAATTTGGTATAATATAAAATATAAATATAAAAATTATATTTCTTGCCCCAGATTTATTTGTTATTCTATTTTAAGCATCAGGAGAATGGTAATAATGAAAAATATGTGTGCATAGGATTTTAAAACCTATTTTTCTAAGACATATATATTTAAAAGCTTCTCAGAACTAGAATAATCCACCCTGTGACTTAAAACGGCTTCCTTCTATTCAGTTTCTTTTTTTTTTTTTTTGTACATTTTAGAAAGTCATTTCTGGATCTTATCAGTCTCCCTCGGAGACTTTGCTTTTGACAATTACAACATCGCAGACAATATCCTGAACACACACTCCATATGTTTTCCAAATACGAGTATGAGTTATCTACCTCTGCCTATTGTTAACCTCTTAGGTAGACATCAAGCAGCTCTGGAGGTGTAATGGGTTATTTGTTGAGCTGTTAACTGAATGGTCAGCAAATCCAACCCACAAATTGCTCCTAGGGAGAATGATGAGGCTGGCTGCTCCTCTGATTTACTGCCTCAGAAACACTACATAGGGTCAACTTAATGGCAGTGGGTTTGGGGTTTAGGTAGGCATCATTGATATAAGTTTAAATTCAAGCTAAATTTTATAAAACCATTGTCTCTTAGCTCATGTACTCTAGAAACAAACCTAAAAGAATTTTATTTTTTAAGAATCTAAAAGGAGGCCTGGTAGCAGATTGGGTTATGAGTTGAGCTGCACACTGTAGGTCAGCAGTTTGAATCTACTAATTGCAACTTGGGAGAAAGATGCAGCTTTTTGATCCGATAAAGATTTACAGCCTCAGAAACCCTACACAGAGTCGCTATGTGTTGGAACCGACTCACAGCACATCACCACCACCACCACCATGAACTTTAATGAGTTACTCAAGTAACAGTTGTTCTAGTAATTGCTGTTGTGGGGTGCTGTATTAGTCACTCCCAACTCATAGTGATCCTAATGGCTTCATAGTGTTTCTTGGTTGTAATCTTTACCGGAGCAGATAGCTAATTCTTTTCTTTTGTGGAGCAGTTACTGGTGAATCTGAACTGCTGTACTTTTGGTTAGCAGCCACGTGCTTAACCACTGCATACCGGGGCTCCTTAATTCTAGTAGTAGGAAAAATCACGTCTGTATCACTTTACTATGTTTATCTTTAAATCTGCTTAAATTATTCTAAGGTATATTCTATTTGAAATAACCAATACTAACTCATATGTTGTTAAGTGCCATCAAATCGGTTCCTACCCATAGCGACCCTGTATAGGGTTTCCAAGGAGCAGTTGGTGAGCTTGAACTGCCAACCTTGTGATTCAAACAGATTTTGCAGTCCAATGCATTAACCCACAGTGCTACACCAGGATTCCTATAGATTAATGCAAAAAGAAGCTAGTCTTCTATTTTATTATGTCTGGAAAATATTTTTCTTTCAATATGTGCTTCTTGCTATTTAGATAATAAATTCTTTAAAAAACAGTGACTATAATCAAGAGTGCTCATTACAGTGACATGCGCACTGAAGAGTTGAAGTCTAAATTTCCGATTAAATGCAGAGGACTGTTATCCAAGGGCAAGGAGTTGTGCTCTTGCATGACAATGCACATCCATACACATCTGCCCACACTGTTAACGCTGCAAAAACTTCATTTTGCGGTGCTAAAGCATCTTCCTTATAGTACATATCTTGCTCTACTGAACGTTCTCCTAAAATATCCCTTTGAAGACAAAGATTCACCTCTGGTGAAAAAGTGAAAACAGCGGTGCATTCACAGCTTGAAGCTCAGACTAAAGCATTTTTAATATGGGAATATATGGAAGCTTGTTGACAGATGAAACAAGAGTATTGAAAAGTAAGGAAATTATGTCAAAAAATGATGTCTTTTCTAAAAGTATTGGAATGCTATAAAATTCTTTTAAAAATACAATTATTAAACTGTCTAGATGTTTTATATGAAAAAAAAAAGAATCAAATAGAGAGAACTTGGGATAATATTAGTATTATGATTTGATGATTGGGACAGTGGGAAATCCAGGGGTCATACTTACACTCCATTTGGTTTCTTCATGTTTAAATAGAAGTTTGGGAAAGTTAAAATTCAAATGGTTAAGAAAAACGTTAATTTAGAGAAGTGAGGAATGAAGACAAAAGTAGTTTCCTTTCTACTTTAAGTTTCTAAGGTACTTGAAAAAATTTTTTTGGAAAATTAAAAGGAAATGGAGCTAGCTTTGGTATTTAACTAGGAATGTGACCCACATTCCTTATTTTGTAGTTTATGATAAAAATTGAAAAAGAATATACACTTCAAGATGCATAATGTTCTGTAATTAAATGCAAAATGTAATTATATTCTACTTAAAAGAGAATGGAAAGATCTGAAAGACTCTTATGCAAAGTCTTATGTCAAAGGTTACTATACCTACTCCTTATTTTTCAACTATCTCATCCTCCAATATTTTACATTTATGACAATAGCAAAACATCTACTATCTGATTAGTTTGCTCATTAATAATGTACACTTAGCAGTAACTGGTGCTAAGATGTAAGGTGCGAGTAATGTTGGCTGTGATGGTAAAGGCAATGCGTCAACTTGGCTGGGCTATGATTCACAATGATTTGGCAGTTATGGAATGATGTAATTTGGTAGAATGTAATAATATATTCATCCTCCATTTTGTCATCTGATGTGGTCATCATAATTTTCACATAATGTCAATTTTTACAAAACAACCTGGTCTTTGAAACCTAAATATGTTGATACATGAAGAGTGGGTATATTGCAAATTTGCAGCATTATTTATTTCATCAGTTACTAGTCTTAATAACTGATATTTGTAATGTTAATATTTAAGTCAAATATTTGTGGAGAATATTAAAAGACCAGATTCTCAAGTAAAAGAAAACAATGTTATTAGTATTATAATTCAAGTTTTCTCCTGGGTAAAACATTTTGCACTATGGTTAAAAGCAAACTATATCAAATATTAATTAATTTAGAATATTTGTAGAAAGAATAAAACCAGCAAAGACCACCTGTAAGTCATTACATTTCAAGAAAATTTAGTAAACATAAGTAAATGTACAACTATGGGAACATACCAACAAGTAGAGTGATGAAATATTTGATTTCCAAATCCAACTTTTAAATCTAAGATGTTTTAAGTTAATTGGTAACAAATGCCAGAAAGACCTTTTTCACTAGCCAACTTTCATTCCTTTAACTAAATCTTAATCAAAACATCTTACAAATTTACAAAAGCTTGAAGTTCTTAAAATGACCCTTGCCTTCAAGAATTTCATCACATTAACTACTTGGTTATTAATGGCAAGAACCAGCTCTATACATTCTACAGATTGACAATTCTTTTGGCATAATGAAAGAACACTTTTCAAAGTACTGGTGAACCAGAATATTTCTTGTGTGAGTAATGTAAAAGTTTGCATATCACCTTCCTCTATGTTCCCATTGAACTTTCTTTCTATGTCTATAATCTCCATTGCTCTGGGTTATTGTTATAATCTGTTTAAACATTTTAACCCTCCACTGGACTCTGAGTATACCTTCAGTGTAATGATAGTATTCAGTTCAGAATTCCCAAGGGTTAGCAATATGCGTGGCATAAAATAAGATTTCAAGAAAACTATGCTGAGTGAAATGATGAATGAATGAGTGAAAGAATGAATGAAGTTACAGAACCATAGAGGTAGTTGAGCTTTTTTCAAACTGCAACTAACTGAGAGGCTAGTAACTTACAGCCTCATCAGACAACTGTCAATAGTTACATAAAGCACTAAACATATTTGTAGGCAATGGTGGTAAGGACAATAACAGGAAAGAAATGAAACTGATATGTTAATAGTCAACAACTGGTTTTTCTCAATGGAAATTTAACTTTGAGCTTCCTATTAGATGTGGTATTTCTCCTTGACAATGTTAACACTTCAGAAACAGTCTCTAACACAAAGTTATTTAATACTGATCTAGAAGATTCTGTGATCTGGTATATAAATATAAAATGTTATACTTTTTTTGGTGCTATTCTAAAAATAAGTTTTATAATTAAAAAAAAATCTGAGGGTAGAATGTCATTAATGGCTATACTGTGTTCATAAAAATATGTTCTTGCTCATTCATCTCAAATGTAAAGCCAGTACTAAAATTGTGTTCTTTAGTATTTAAAATACTTGCATACTCTGAATAATATAGTTAGCTAAAAAGTTTACAAAATAAATTCCCTGTTTTGGTGTGTAGGCAACAAGGAGAAGAGTCAATTGAGGGTCAATGTTTCTTTGCCAAGGACTTGTTCCAAATAACAGTGGATCTTGTGTTCTTGGGACTTCCTTCAAAGTTTTCTAGGCATTGGGAAGGTGGATGTTGGGAAAGATAAATTAAAAGTCCAAATGCTTATCATACAGTTCTGTTGAGTAGAATTCAATAAGCACTCTTATGTAATAAAGTTCTGAGATCTGGTGACATATTTTAAAACTGCCATATATATACTCTGATTTTCAGCTGGCATATTTTTTGTTTGACGTATTTTAGGGTTTTAGACATGAGTGATAATGCTAAATGTTTCCCAAGAAATACAGTGACTTTATGCATTATTAAATTATAAGGTTTTAAGGAAGCACATTTTGTTAGTACGGTTGTACCTCTTTCTCCCTTTTGACACTTCTTTCTTGGCACTGTACACTTTCTTGTCTCATTGGTGGGTGGACACAAGTTACCCTTCGCTGAAGGATGCTGTGTTATTTCTCGGACTCGTGTCTCAGTCCCTCTTTTGAAGCCACATGTTTTTCCTTTCTTCATGCACGGACTCCAAGAACTCCATGCACTGGCTTCACAGTGCACTGAAAAAACAGAAATGACTTTCACTATTATTAAATACAGAACAATTTTCTTCTATCAGTACTTAACCAAATCAGAACAGAAATTCTGGAGATCTAAGTTGAACAAGGAATACTGGTGTGGCACTGTGGGTTAATGTGTTACCCTGCAAAGTCAGTTTGAACCACAAAGTCAGTGATTCAAGCTCACCAGCCGCTCCTTGGAAACCCTGTACAGGGTCACTATGGGTCAGAACTGACTCAACGGCATTTAACAACAAATGGGACAAGATGACTTGAAGATAAAACAAAGAGAAAGGTAGGAGTAGAATGTTTTCAGTGTTTTAGTACCATATTGGAGTCCTGGTGTGGTGCTGTACAATAAGCATTGGACTGCTAACCGCAATGTTGGTGGTTCAAGCCCACCAGCCACTCCCTGGAAAGCCTATACTGTATACAGGGTCATTATGCATCAAAACCTACTTGATGGCACTTAACAACAACAACAGTACCATATTATCAGGTAAACTCATTCTTGCATTGGGCTTACCTTTTACTCTAGATTGGGTTAACCTAGTCTCTTACATAATTGCTCTCAACTGACCAGTGCTTTATAATCTCCAGAGCATTTTCCAGCTGTAGCTACTGACTGATCCTGTCAAAAAGTTGTTTGGAAGATGTTATTCTGATGTGCTAGAGAACTCATTCTCACATTTCATGGTGCATCAGAATCACCTGCAGGACTTACTGAAACATTGAATGCTGACCTCCACTTCCAGAGTTTCTGATTTAGTGGTCTGGGAATCTGCATGTGTAACAATCTAGGTGATGCTGTTTATGGGTACTGATTTGTAGGAACACATTTTGAAAATATGCACCAGAGAACTATTGAGCAAAAAATTGCATCTAGGTCTTTGGCCTTTCTATTCACAGCCTTTTCCATTTTCTATGAGATGTATTGTTGGTCGCTTAAATATTGCCATTTGTTTCTGGATGTAGTCTAGGTATATCAGCATACATTTTAAGTAAACTCTGGGTTAATTTCAGCTGATATGCTACTTCTACAGTTAACTTGACAGACTGGTTTCTAAGATTCATTTTTTAATTTTTCCTGAAGCTTTTTTTATTGAGATTCCCCTCCTCTTTCTGTATGTATTAGTCTCTTCAATAATGGCCTTTCCAGATTTTACAGTAAGATATTTTTGTCTTTCTACAAAAGACAAATACTGTAGAATGAACCAACAATATTGATGTTCAGAAATGATTTCATGAAATAAATGAAAGCTTTGCAATGATGAAGATAAAAAACAAGCATAAATTATATGCAAGTCATTAAAGTGACAGTGAAGAGACTGGGACACTAATTTGTTAAAAGTTCGTTCAGAAAAACTGATCTACTCAACTGCTCTATATCTTTCATCATCTTATTAAGTACTAAGAATGCAATAAGAACAGTCTTAGTAGTTCAGCTATTCACTAATGGAGCAAGTGTCTCAAAAAGCATTGTGCTCACTGTCCCTGGAAGTAGTTACGCAGTGACTGATCATTAGTCTGGGATGCTGCCAAAGGGATTCCTGAATTGGAAGAAAAATTGAATGGGATACTTTATCACCATTACTCTTTTCCTTTAATTCTTGTTGACTAACTGCATGATTCCATAGGGAACATAGCCAGTTGTTGTCATTTGCTATTCAGTATTTGGAGCTGGACATCTTCCCTCTGTCACTACTGAACAAGGCAAACCCTCCAAGAGGAGCAATGTGATGACAATATGACAGTGCAGAAAGGAAGGACATATTTAATATGCACAGTTGAAGGAATATGCTCTTTTGTAAAATTGGGTTTAGTGTACATTATGGTTAATTTCACTTGTAAACCATAGGGAGTGGGTATATTGTGACCTGGGCCATTTGTTGGAGTCCTGGTATGGCGCTATAGGATAAGCACAGGGCTGCTAACCATAAGGTTAACAGTTCAAACCTACCAGCTGCTTCTATACAGGGTAGCTATGAGCCAGAACTGACTAAATGACATTTAACAACAACAACATGCAATTCGTGAGGACAAAATTTTTTCTATTTACTATCTTTCCTTGTACTTTAAAATCTGGGTGGTAAACAACAGTAAAAATTTTCATAAAGGAGAAGACAGATTCTTTAACCTATTGGGTGAACACTGGGGAGCAAGAGTAAGCAAACTGACTACAGCACTAACAATGACTGTCCTTGAGGTCATCATTTCAGCTCTCTGGGCTCTATGTTCTACATTTGTTAAGGGAGCATGTCATTGTATTCCCTGAAATACTGGGGAAGGAGCATTGAAAGTGCAGTGTCTATAGGCCAGGTACCACGTAGTAGTGAGACATGTGCATGAAGTAGGCAGAGAGAGCCACCTTGAACAAAAGTTACTAATGTGTGCTACTACTGTGGCCTAGGTCAGTTAGAGCCAGGTTCAGTAAATGACCTTTAGACTATTAACTTCTGTTTTAAAATATGTATACAGTGTGTTAGGAAATAGTCTTTGTCTCAATTGTATAGATTACCAGTAAACTTTAAAGGCGTATCTAATCGTTGCTGTTATTATTGTTAACTGTTGTCTAGTTGGCCCGACTCATGGTGACCCCATGTTCAACAGGAGTAGACAGCTGTAATCCACAGGGCTTTTACGGCTGGCTACTTTTTCAGAAGTGGATTGTCTTTCCTTTTAAATCTAACAGTACCAAGTGCTAAGTGCACTCTCAGGTAGAAAAAGCATTGATACATTTAAGACAAATTATGTCTCAAGGACTGACTGAATGCTACATCTAAACACTAAGGAAATAGAAACAGTGTCCCTTTTTCTGGGCAGAGAAATACAACAAACTTTTTTCAGCTCATCCTGAATTTCTATTTTTTAATAATTTACAAAAATATTTTTGATTTTTTCCACTCATCATTGGCCCTTAGTACCTACAAAGAGACAAACTTCAAGTGCTTTTCATGTTCATTTTCCTTACTTTCAAGTTGTTTTTCTGTGTTTTTATTGGCTAACGAAAAAATACTTAACCATAACAATTCTATCTCAGAATTGTTGTTTTCCAGATGTTTCTGAAATTATCTTTAAAATATCATCATTTACTTCATTCTACCTAAGAACTTTGTTCAAAATAAAGTTCCATGGTGAACGTGAAATGGTTAAGTCACCGTTTTAGAGTTATGTCTCCAGCACTTTAGATTCTGTTGGATCTGTACTGTGAGACCCCAGGGGAATCCTGTGTCTATCTTGTACTGAATCAGGAGGGCATTTGTGTGCCAATGCCAGTTTCAGCACAGCATCAAAGACTCTTGTAGTGTTCGCCCAGGGGATTTTGAGATTTAGTATGTTGTTTTCCCATTTGGGTTAGCATCTGTTCCCCAAGTGTTCATCAAACCCGTGGCTGTAGTAGCTGCACAACATTTAAAAGGGGGAAAATATAGCCTGAGAGTGATCCCTTATTTAGACAAACAACTTGCCTGTGGAAACTCCCCTCCAAGAAACTCAATCTGCAATTAATCAGACCCTGAAACTGTCTCATTCTGTCAGTTTGAGTAAATCCAAAATCCTTTCTTGTTCCTGGATACCGGTGCAACCAGAACATTTCAGAAAGGCAATGGAGAGAAAAAGTGAGATTTTTAAATACATTAACTCTAGTTCTCTAGGTCTTTGACCCATCTGCTGAGCATTAATGAAATTTATTACAGAATATCTTCCCCTATCCCCTTCCTAAACACCGCCCCCTCCCAATTTGGAAAAAACTTTAATCACTGGTTAAGATTAAACCTCAGTGTTTTATGATGAAACTCTTGCCCCAAGGTAGAGATTTAGTAACATATCAAGATATAAATATAAACAGAAAATGTAATCAATTGTCTAGAAGGTGCGGGGCTTCAAAAAGTTTGTAGAAATATTTCATTATCTTTAAATTCCATTTTTTCACAAACTCTTTGAGCCCCCTTCATAAGTAAAACATCATGGAATAATGATATAAAACAAATCTATAGATCATTATTAAACATCAATGAAGTTTTTTCCAAGTTGGGAGGTGGTGGTGTTTAGGGAGGGGATAGGGGAACATAGTCTGTAATAAATCTATAATGATCTAAAGGAACTCTGATAGCATAGTGGCTATGAATTGGACTGCTAACTTCAAGGTCAGCAGTTTGGAACTAACAGCTGTTCCACGAGAGAAAGATGAAACTTTCTGCTCCCGTAAAGATTTGCAGCCTCGGAAACCCTGTGCAGAGTCACTATGAGTTGGAACCGACTTCACGGTACTTAATAACAACAACATAATGATCTAAATAATTGAAACAATTATCATTGGTCCCCAAGAAATAATGGATCATCCATCCACTGTATATTAAGTTGGACTGTGGTGGAGTCCTGGTGTGGTGCTGTGGGTTAATGTGCTGCACTGCAAAGTTGGTTTGAATAGCAAGGTTGGGGATTCAAGCTCACCAGCCACTCCTCAGAAACCCTATACAGGGTCACTCTGAGCTGCAACTGACTCAACAGCACTTAACAAAAAACAACAACAACAACAAAAAAAAGAAGCATGCTGGGTAAGGTGATGGGAACACCCTAAAATAGTATCTTTGAAAGAAGGAAGGCCCCTTAGAGACAGCCTCTCAGGTCCTTGTGAGATAAGGCTTGCAGAGACACCTTCATGGACACTGAATTATCATCTGAGGAGTTTATCATCTGTCCTAGATCTCAGAGCTCCTTCTCACCAATACTGACGCACTCCATGGTGTGGTTGTTGGATTCCAACCCTTCTGGGCAATTATCAAGGCACTTTCCAAGGTGTAAGTAAAATCCACTTTTACACTTTGTGCAGAAATTTTTGTTGAAACAGGTATCACAGTCCGCTTTGCATTCTAAAAAAAAAAGAGAGAACAGAAACCATATTTCCATTATGCTCAGTGAACTATTGCTGGTTTCATTCTACCGGTTTCTAACACAGACATATGCAACTTCCCTGTCAAGCATTTCAGGTTCAAAATTATTTTGCAGAACTGAAATAAGGATTCCTCCACGATCATTCAGTTGATGGATATTAATGATTCCAAAAGCAGTTGATTAATTGTGTTGGGTTTGTTTGTTTTGTTTTTACTTGCTAAATGGTTTATAGGATCAAGCATCTAATGAAACAAACACTAATGGATAGCAAAAATGTTTCATAATTTTAATAAAACGTACTTGGATTATTGTTAATGTACTATTTTAAAAATCTGTTTATTCATTCAATAGATACTGGTTTGCCTACTATGTGCCATGTACTGTGAGGGTAAGTCAAAAAGCTTTGCAACAAAATCATGGCAATCTTAAATGAAAATATAGAAATGTGAAGCTATTGTTCCTCAACATATCCTCCATCTATGTCTATACACTTCTGAAAGTAGTATTGTCAAAGTATTGTCATCTCTCTAACCCAAACTTTCCCCTGAAGAATTCTGCACTTTTTGATTTATTCCACGTCAAGACAGCAGTTTTGACATACTCAAGGGACTCAAATCTTGTTCTTTTGGGGACTTTGGGGAACAACAAAAAATCTGAAAAGTTAAAATCAGAGCTGTAGTGTGGATAGCGGAAGGTTTCCCAATGAAATTCTCCTAGGACATTCTCTTAGGACATCACCCTTGCTATTATACAAGAATGATCAAGTACATTATCATGATGGAAACAAAAGTCCTTAGTCCAACTTCCCTGGGCTTTTTCTCACAAATGAAGTTTTCACTTTTATTAAAAATTCTTTTTAATAAGCCTCTGTGTTCCATGTTCTTTGAGAAAATCTATCAAGATGACCCCTTTGGAATTCCAGAAAGCAGTCACCATAAACTTCTGGGCTGACCTCTCTGCCATGAATTAGCTGTGAACCAAGAGATCCCCTAGGAAGACACTGTTCTGATTGAACCTTTGTTTTGAAGTCACCTGTGGTGTAGTGAACTATTTACTATGTCTCTCCTAGCCTTAGTTTTTGTAACTCCAACCAAATGAATCTTCGTGATGGGTATGGGTTAGAGAAGGTGTGAGAAGATGATGTGATTCAGTTGTGGATAATTGTTAATGGAGTTAATTGTGATTTTAAAAACTTGGAATTCTACATGGATATGGAATGAGCCATCTCAGAAATGAGGAAGGCCTGGAAAGGGTGAGGAAATGTCACTATTATCAAAGAAAAGGAGGCAGGAGTGGAGTGCATCTTTGGACCCTGAGATTCCTGTGCAGTAAACCTCCTTGACCTAGGGACACAAAGCTGTGATACTGAAGGAGTGACACAGAAGCCACAACAACAGAAACAAGAGCCAGAGTATGAGGCAGAGCAGTGGGCTTCTCAACTGATGGAGCAAGTCAAGCTGAGTAATTTCAGAAAGGAAATTTGCTTGCAGAATGAGGTACCTCCAAGCATGTAACTGGGGAGCTATATTTGCTGATCCAGAGAGCTGAGGTTTATGGTGGAGTGGTGTGCCCTGTGGTTCAAATGTTGACAGAGCAGGACATAGGCTAGGCCAAGGGCTGAGGGCCAGACAGAGGCCTGCCCATGGGCACAGCGGAAGAGAGAGTATCCTGACTGAAGAATTGTACCTTTTACATTTCTGACCCTGACCTGGTAACTTTCCTAATAATCCTTCCAATGTGAGTATGTATGGCTTCTGAGTTCTGGGTGACTATTGAAATAGATTATCAACCTAGTTGAGTAGATAGGCTTATGGCAGGGATGGGAGGTATCATTTCTTTATGCACCCTAACAAGACAAAGACAAGTATATTGCTGAGAGAACACATCTGCAGCCAACCACTGATTGCAAAAATATGTTCAAACATGTTTTGTTTGGAATAAATCCATGCATGTATGAACTGGAATCCTAGAAGCAAAACTTCTTTTTTTATGCTCCTATTTTAGGCTCTGGTAGCGTAGTGGTTACGAATCGGGCTGCGAACCTTAAGGTCAGTGGTTCGAAACTACCAGCTGCTCAGCGGGAGAAAGATCAGGCTTTCTACTCCCGTAAAGGTTTACACCCTCGGAAACCCTGTACAGGGTCGCTATGGGTCGGAACTGACTCAAAGGCACTTAACAACAACAACAATTTTAGGCATTAAGGAGTTCTGGTACCATAGTGGTTACGAATTGGGCTGCTAACCTCAGGGTCAGTAGTTTGAAATTACCAGCTGTTCCATGGGAGAAAGATGAGGCTTTCTGCTCCCACAAAGATTTACAGCCTCAGAAACCCTGTACAGGGTCGCTATGAGTTGGAACTGACTCCACGGCACATAACAACAACAACAACATTTTAGGCATTGGGTTGACAGCTATGCACAGAGTCCAGACTTTACAAAACTTACAGGTGGAGAGACACAATAGATAATAATTATAGTTGACACTCATCTGGTGCTTTTTATGTTAGGCACTGTTACAAGTATTTTACTATACATTAAGTCATTTAAACCTTACAGTAATCCAATGAACTAGTCTCTTTTAATATTCTCATTTTATATATCAGGAAATTGAGTCTTAGGGAAAAAAATGAAAACTACTCACTGATACCAAGTTGGTTGTAACTCATAGGGTTTCAAAAATAGTTGTAAATCTTTAGAGGAGCAGAAAGCCTCATCTTTCTCCCACAGAGCACCTAGGGTTTGAACTGTCCACCTTGCAGTTAGCAGTCCAGTGCTTATCTTACAACACTCCCAAGGCTCCTTGTTTCAGAAAGGCTATATAAAACAGCCCAAAGTCATAGACAAGACTGGTTTTGAAACTTGGGATTCTGGTTCAGAGTGATAAATTCTCTGGGAAGAGGAGGGCAGGGTCGGTAGGAAAGTTAGATGAAGAATGATGGAGAAGGGAAAGAAATTGATTATTTCAGACAAGATGGTCAAAGAAATCTACTCTGGTGACTTAAGAGCAGAACATAGACGAAAATGAGAGTTGGTTAAGCCAACTTCTAGAGGAAAAGCTTTCCAAACAGTCAGAACAAGTGTGGAACAGTAAGTGTGGAATCGTGCTAGCAATAATTTTTAAGACATGAAAAAAAATCTTAAAAGAAGACCAGTTTGGCTGTTGCAAAGCAGGTGATGGAGAGCTACAAAATATGAGTTAGGAGATGTAGGGATGGTCAAATATTATGTTTGGCTAGAGGAGTGATGTTTTAATTTACAGCTTTGGAAGCTGAATGCAGTGTGGAGAAGATAACTTCAGATCCAGGTTTTATAAGATGTTCCTGGTGTGGCACTGTAGGGTGAGAACAGGACTGCTAGCAATAAGATGAGCAGCTTAGACCCACCAGCCACTCCTCAGAAACAGGGTCGTTGTGCATCAGAACTGACTCCACAGCATTTAACAACAACAATAACAACAACATGAACAATAAGACTAGATTGGAAGCTAGGGACTTGTTGACTGGTTGTCAAATAGCAAAATTGATGGATGGAATATGTGGTGTGAGAACAAGAAAAATATAGTGTTATGAACTGACTTACATCACTCCCCCGCCACAAATATGTGCCTCCCCCCACAAATATGTGTCATAAACCCTAAACTCTATGCCTGTTGTAGAAGGAACCCTGGTAGTGCAGTGGTGAAGTGCAGCGGTAATATCCTAAAAGTGGAGTCTGATCCCACCAGTTGCTCCACAGGAGAACTATGTGGCAGCCTGCATATAAAAAGATTTAAACCTTGAAAAGCCCTCTGGGAAGTTTCTACTCTGTCCTAGGCTCACTAAGAGTTGGAATCTATCACCTGTATAACAATGGGTATTGTTCTTGAATGCCGCTGGATGGGTTTGCTTTGCTATGCTAATGTGGAAGGAATAGTGTAGGGTGTATATTGAGCAATCTCTCTCTCTCTTTTTTTAATGTTTTATTGTGAATTATGTGATGTTTACATGGAAGAACATTAGCTTTACATTCATCCTATCATATATCGTTTCATTGTTGTAAATGGTGATATTTAATGTGGCAAGAGAGAACTCTTTCTACAGATGACAAACTGATGGGTATAGCTTATATCTTATCTACCCCGTGAGAATAAGAAACTCACTAGAAAATGTCATAGGCTTTCTATCCATATGTCACCTCTGGTCTACGTATTACCAACCTAAAAAGAAAAAAAATCTGTCACTTAGCTGAATTAGGGAATGTCACTGGGGGAAAAAAAAAAGAATTATTGATTGATAAATAAGCATTTCATTGCTTTTTGAAATTCTTCTTGAAGCCAAAATAATAGAAATGTTTCTTTACTTCTCTAAAAACTTGAACAGTTAGGATGGTAATGAGAACTTAGATTGAATTGATACTTGTAATTCTTTTCTGTAGATTCGGTGAATAATAATCTTGTTCTCAGCTTTTAATTTTACAATGGGGACAAGGTGGAAAAACAAATCCAAAAATTTAGATGTTTTAGTAACAAATGTTTCTTCCCTGAGGGCTTTCTAAGGGTTGTTTAGCATAATTATCATGTAAACATTATTATTTTTCTAACATTGAAAGTCAGAAATGTGTTAGAGACCAGTCCAACCTGGAAACATTCCCAAAGATGAGATAAAACCATAATTCTGTGTAGGCACTTACTTGTACACTTATTTATATCTGGATATCGAGTTCCATAATATCCACTTGGGCATGAAGAGAGACACACTCCAATCTGTTTCATGCCAATTCTTTCCAGAACAAAAAATAGTCTGGGCTTACATGACAAACATCCATTGTAATCTGAGCACGTTGCACAGCCTCCTTGGCAGCCTTGACTGACGTTAGGATGCACTGGAGAGACAAATGCACAATAATACAAAGTGAAGTCATAGGTATAGACATTAAATAGCATTCATAAGGCAGGATATGCATTTTTCTTTCATTAATTTTTAATTTTGTAGTAATAGAGCTGAGATTCCAGCCCACTCCTTTCTGAAATTTAATATTTAAAAACATAACTATATTATTTTCAAAGTCCTTAAAATTGTAGTTTTAAAAAGAATAAATTCCTCAAACTACACACATGTAAATGTATCATTAACCCTATGAGAAAAATACTCTTTCCTATGTTGTTAAGTGCCATCGAGTCACTACTGACTCATAGCAACCTTGTACAGTGTTTCTGATGAGCAATTGGTGAGCCACCAACCTTGCTGTTCAAACTGATCTCAAGATCCAGTGCTTATCCTATAACACCACACCAGGATTCCACTCTCTCCTACAGGATCACTATTAGTCAGAAACAGGGCTTTGAACTGGTTCTTCCCAGTTCAGTCATGACTGAAGGAACAAAATGTGAAAGACCTGAATTTGTAGAATGTGGCATCCAGAACAGGAAAAATTATTGGATGATGCCCTGCAGGAAACAATTTCCTTCTTAAAAAACAAGGGCAGCATGTGTGTTGCATAGCGACCAAATCTCTTGACAGGCAGACAGACTCTGAAACAGTGCTGCACAGTTCAAAGATCACCATCACTACCCACACTGATTTGAATGTGGATCACTCTCCCCAGTCCTGATAACAGTCCAATCTCTTGGATTAGGATTCTAAAAGGCTGACTACACTTCTTCCAACACACTCATTCCAGTGCTCTGACCCGTCATTTTTCTCTAGTTATCATTCTGCTACACCAAATTAAAAAAATTCAGTGTGTTCTAATTTTGCTCGGCTGGCCATGACTAAACTAGTTCAAATCAGTTTGAAACTCTGGTTGGAATTGATTCGAAGGCAACTGGATAAGCACACACACACACACACACACACACAAACAAACAAACATCAGTAAAAAAGTATTGCTACTAGGATCCAGTTCATACATACACAGCCTTATTCCAAACAAAACACGTTTAAACATGTCTCTGTGATCAGTTATTGGTGGCAGATGAGTTCTCTCAAGAACATAAACTTATCTTCACCTCCTTATGGTCCACTCAAAACAATGACTTCCTAGAGGATTGGCTAGGGTAGGTAAATTCAAGGCAGAGATGTCAGTTCAGAAGGTTATGGTGACTGTTTTGTGGAATTCCAAATGGGTGATTTTGATAGATTTTCTCAGAGGACACAAGACAATCTCAGGGGCTATTAGGAAGAGTTTTAAGAAAATGGAAAACTGCATTGGTGAGAAAAAGGCTAGGAGTGTTGCACAAAGGAATTTTCCCGCATCACAGCACACCTGCACATTTTTTGAGGATAGCAAGCACTGCCCTAGGAGAGTCTTGTTGGGAAACTTTTCCCCATTCACCCTACAACACCAATTTAGAATTCTTTTTGTTCCCAAAACTCAAAAGGACATTTACAAGGAGCATAATTTGAGTGCCTTGAGGATTCCAACACTGCTATTTTGACATGGTGTAAATCGAAGAGCACTGAATTCTTTAGGGAGGGTTAGGTGGAAATTTGGGAACACTGCCATCAGAAGAGTGTATCGACGTGGATGGGGGATATGGTGAGAAACAATAGCTTCACATTTTTATGTTTTTGTTTAGATATGGTTTTGATTGTTGTGCAGCAATACTTTTTGTATTATCCTTGGCTGTCTATGTATATGTGTGTATAGTCGCATGTTTGTCTATATAGTGACAATATCATCACTGAACTAGCACTCTGGGAGACTTGTTGTTAAGTGCCATTGAGTCAGTTCTGACTCATAATGACACTGTATAGGGCTCCCAAGGAGATATTTTGTTGCTATTAAGTGCCATTGAGTCAATTCCGACCCATAGCGACCCTGTATAGGGTTTCCAAGGAGCAGCTGGTGAGCTTGAACCACCGACCTTGCAGTTCAAATGACTTTGTAGTCTGACACATTAGCCTACAGTGCCACACCAGGACATATAGGACTGTGTAATTTTGTGCTTATTTATACATTAAAATTAATACACATCAGTTTGTTAGTTTGTTTTTCACTTATAATGTGAGTGATGGGCACATGTGTCTAATTTACTCAGAAAAGATAACAATGGACACTAAGATTTAACTTGAGGAAGGAAATTAAGTTCTAGGATAATTTATTCAATTTGGGCCTATTAGAAAACATAGTTTTACTCTAATTCAAACTGATCCTTGAGGTATTCTGTTTCCCTGAATCTTTTATTGAAATAATCCTTTCATAAATTTAATGTTTATCTATTTAAGCCTGATGTTCTTGTGTTGCTCGGTGCTGTATAGTTGATTCTGACTCAGTGACCTATGTACAACAGAAGGAAACACTGCCCGGTTCTGCAACCTCACAACCACTGTTCTATTTGAGTCCATTGTTGCAGCCACTGTGTTGATCCATCTTGTTGACAGGCATCCTATTTTTCACTGATCCTCTACAATACATTTGAAGTCCCGGTGTGGGGCTGTAGGGTAATGCCCTGGATCGCAAGGGCATTTTGAACCACAAGGTTGGTGGTTCAAACTCACCAGCTGCTCCTCAGAAACCCTATACAGGGTGGCTATGAACTGGAATGGACTCGAGGGCACTTAACAACACTACTATACATGATGTCCTTCTTCAGGGACTGGTCCCTCCTGGTGACATGACCTAAGTGCATAAGGCAGAGTCTCACCATTCTTGCTTCTAAGGAGCATTCTGTGTGTACAACCTCCAAGAAAGATTTTTAACTCTTTCTTTCAATCCATGATATGTTCAATATTCAACACCATATTTCAGTTCTTGTTTGGTTTTCTCGGTTCATTTTCCAGTTTTCACATGCATATGAGTTGATTGAAAATACCAAGACTTGGAGCAAGCTCACCTTTGTCCTCACAGTGATACCTTTGCTCTTTAACATTCAAAATAGGTTATTTGCAACAGATTTGTCCAATACAATATGCTATTTGATTTCTTGACTGTGTTGATTGTGGACTTAAGTAAACATCATATTTATCTTATCACTATTTCCATGAGGTTAATATTGTGAATGTTTATAAGAAGTTGTGTTCAGTTTTTATCTTACACTTTTCAAACCATCACCTTCTATTTTCTTGGCTTGAAGATATTTTTCAGTCCACCCTAAGAAATACTACTATCGTTTCAAGACTTCCAAGTGTCAGTCACTGATGTATGATGTGTTCACTAGCAAGTCTGGACAAAAAACACAAACATTTAGAAGCTTTATATTTAAAATGATATCTTCACAACTTTAAGCCCACTTAAGACTATTAAGTAAACATCATTATTTGTTTGTTAGCTGATGGAGAACTGCTGGGTAAGATGCACCTCATACAGATGGTGTTTGGGATTCCCTAATACTCTCTCTGAATAAACATATCAATATCTTTATTGTTCTTTCAAGAATCCAGAAAGGAACCACCATGACCCTTTGAGAGGCAAAAGTAGATGCACAGGGATCTATCTGAAAGCATCCTAGAGTACTTCTGATTTGCTTTTGTTAGTATTCGAAGGGATAGCTTCTTATGGACCTCATTGTTATTAAATCTGTCTACATAGTGATATTTGGTTATTACTAAGTTCTTTACCACAAAAACAAATCCTACCAGGTTTAGTGAGAAGGGGTACCCATAACACTAAATAGCCTTACCACAGGGGTGCATGGGTTAGCTAGGAAGAGGTCATTCAGTTGACCAGCATCCTCTGCCTGGAGGAAACCATCCCTGAATCTGCCACAGAAACCACAAGCAGCTCATTCTCATTCCAACAAGACTTTTTGTAAATAAACTGAGGAAATATGTGGGGGAAGGGAAGCCTGCTTTTCCTGTACTTGCTTCTCTGTGGGGTGGGGCAGTCATATAAAGTGGCACAGGAGGTTTAAACATTATAGGACCTCGGGGACTTGTAAGTAAAAATTGCTTTCCAAGTAACAGGGTCATTTTTCATGCCAGTAATTCAGCAATGGTGACTTACAGAAAATGTATATATGTATTTAAGTGGGAAAATATCCTAAAAATGAAAGGGGCAAATAAAGCACACATGTTTACAATCTAACTGACTCACTTCAAGAAGCCAAAGGTGGAGGTAACAACTTGTAAAATAAAAACAACAAAACTGCAAGAATTGCCTATGGAATAACAATGTTCTCATCTTACTTTGGTGAGTAACCTCTGGGATCTTGAAAGCTCATGAGCAACAGTCTAAGGTGCAGCTATAGGTCTCTCCATGTACAGAAGAAAAAAGTGTGATAAGAACTGAAGAGGCTTGGATTCAATTAGTTCAATGGATTAGTGGAGAATGTAAACATCCGTCTCCACAACCCTGAGATCAGAAAAACTAGATGGTGCCTGACTACTGCTACCAACTGCTCTAAAAGGGATCACATTGGAAGGTCCCATATCAGGTAGGAGAAATGTAGAACAAGACTCAAAATTACTTAAAACAACAACAACAAAACAGGTTTACTGGTCAGAAAGAGACTGGAAAAACCTGAGACTATGGTCCTTCAGGGCCGGGGAAAAAAAAACCACATCACCCCTGTGGACTAATTTTCAGCCAAGCAATAGATGAGCATATAGGGGTACAACAACACTAGTCAGGTATGCTCACTCTGGAATAGTCAATCATTCAAAATCAAAAGGGCAACATTTTCCTAAGGAAAAAGTTGAGAAGAGATGGGAAGGTGGGTGGAATGGGAAGTAAGGAGGGAGTAGGGGGACTGTTGGTGCTTGGAGGAGATTGCAATCCCTGAGATGAAACAAAGTGATTTGTTGAATGTAAAACGGATGATCTTGTCTGTAAATCTTCACTCAGTTCACAATAAAAAGTTTTTTAAAATTGCCTATTGAAATGTAGCTGTCCATTGGAATGAAAATTGATCTAAGGTCAGGGTACTAAATGAATTTAAGGAA